AAATATAGATTAATATAAAAATAAAAAAAAACAAAGATATGCAATATAGAGCGTCTCTGAACCCGTCGGTACTTATTCTCTGTAGTCTTTTCATCATCATCTTTGGCTCGACAATCCTCTGTGGATCTTGGTCTGCTCTAAGATTCGTCGCCATTCTGTTCGGTTTTTGGCAACATGTTGCCATCTTCTGATTTTTAATATTCGTAAGTCGGTTTCTACTCCATCTAACCACCTAATTCGCGGTCGGCCTTTGCTTCTTTTTCCTGCAGGTGTTCCTGTGGTTAACTTTTTAGCAATGGTATTTTCTCTGTAGTCTTTTATTAAGTCAAAATATTCATTTAGGTTGTAAACGCATATATGGATCAAGCATGCTTTTAATTTATTTTTGAATTTTTGAATATTGTTTTCATTTCTTATATTAAGTGGCAAACAATTATAAAATTTAGATCCTGCAAAATCAGGACTAGTTTCAAAGAGAGTTGTGGAGTGTTTACACACGCTTATCAACCTCCCGTGTCTTGTCGGGTAATTATGAAAGTCAGAGTTGGGGGTAAAATTTTGAAATTAAGTTTTGACGTGAATAATACACTTATAAATATATAAAGCATGAAAAGTCAACAGCATGTGTTCAATAAAATATTTACGACATGATTGTCTATTATTAATATTGAATATCAATCTAAGAATTCTCTTTTGAGTTATAAAAACTCTAGAAGAGTTTCTAGAGTTTCCCCACAAGATAACATTATAGGCCATATAGGAATAAACCAATGCATAATACACACTCAATTGATTGGTATTAAATAGAGTTTTCAACTGAAGGATCGCATAGTAACCCTTATTCATTGTTTTGCAGACTTTGTCTACAAAACTGTGTCACTAACTGTGATTTTATAACCATGGGATGGCTTAAAGCGCGAGTAGAACTGCATACAAATAGTTTTCTTTGCATTAACGTTAAAGAGTTCCTTTTACACCAGGTTGTAAATTAATGTGCTACTAAGTTCATTTTTGAAATGAGTTTGACTTCATTTGACTCGTCAACTACAATTGTTGAATCATCTACATAAAGTCATATGGTCTGCAGTTAAAAAATGTGTCAAATCATTGACATATAAAAGAAATATTAGGGGTCCCAATACGGAGCCTTGCGGTACACCTCGATCAAGATTAAAAACAGATGACTTCTTATTATCGACTTTTACTAGGAATTTACGATGTTGTAATTATGACCGTAACCAGTTCAAGAAATAACCCCGAAAACCAAGGGCTTCTAATTTATGCAGTATAATTTCAATGTCAATAGAGTCAAAAGCCTTAGTTAAGTCAAAATAGAGTGCTCCCACATACCTTTTTCGATCCAAAGCAGCGTGGATATAATTAAATAATGAAATAGAAGCACTCTCTGTAGATTTATTAGGAAGAAACCCATGCTGGCATTTATTTAAGATATATTTATTCAGAAAATTTAACATTTACATATAAATACACTTTTTACACTATAAATACACTTTTCGATAATCTTAGAGAGTACACTTGTTACGGTGATTGGCCTGTAATTATCAACCAAACATGGATCTCCCTTTTTGAAAATTGGACTGACTACTCCCGTTTTAAGGTCACTTGGAAACTTGTCATCCTTGACAGATAGGTTGATGATGTGAGACAAAGCAGGAGATATATATGAAGAAATGTATTTAATTATTTTAGTGGGGATTTGATCAATACCTACTGAGCTGGTGTAGTTTAAGGAAGATATAGCATTCTCAATATCAAATGGTGAGACTTCAGAAAAAAAGAATGTGTTGTTAATTGTCATAGTTGTGAAATCGTTAAAGGTATAGTTATTGAAATGTTTTAATAATGTGTGTTTGACTGATGTACAAAAATACTCACCAAATTTGTTTGCTATGTGTTCTGGATGTATCAATAATTTATTATTATCAGTAATGCTCCACTCAAAATTGTTTTTATTTTTACCAGTTTGACGATTCACAGTTTTCCATATCTCCTTCCTTCTTTTATTATTATTTTGATTATGTAAATAACTTTGATATGATGCTTTTTTTATATCCTTTACCTTACGAATGAAGTTGGCCTTTTTTATTTTATAGTTATACATTAGATCTGAATTACCACTAACATTTGCTAGCCAAAATAAATCTTTCAGCTTTTTACTAATCTTTTTCTGTTGGTATTAGTAGTTATGTGTTTTGATATTAAAGGACATGTTGTATCAATATGATAGGAGACAGAGTTCAAAAAAGCTCTATATGCATCATCTACATCATTTGAATATGTATAAACATTTTCGAAATTCTCAGAATCAAGACTCAACAAAAGATTAGACAAACAATTCTTTGATAAGTTTCTATAAGTAGCTATCTGGGATGCAGCAGTATTGTTACTCTCAAATATGTTTAAACTAAAATGAAGTCCTAGATGATCACCTAAATTGTAGTTCACGACAACCTCATTGTATAATTGAGGAATATTGGTAAGAAAATAATCTAGTTTCGATCGTCAAATTACACCGTTTTTATTTGTAAATATTCTAGTTGGTTCAGTATTTTTACAGTTAAGTCCAAAACTAATCATAAAATCCTTTAATATAGATTTTTGCCTTGACTCTTTATAATCGATGTTAAGATCACCACAAAGAATAATACAATCATATTTAACCTAACAAATATTAAATATATAATATAATTTATGTATAAAAATATCAATATCCCCATTAGGGGAGCGATACACATTGAGTAAACAAAATTTTTTTGAGTCACATCTAAAATAGGCATATAGGCAAATAAATATACGTTGGCATAGAGTACCCCTATTTTTTGGGCTAACTTAACCGGGCTAGGTGTTTTTTAAAGTAGGTTGGTAATTTTTCAGATCTTCTTGAATGGCAGAGAACTATCATTGCTTATAAAAAATTGAATAGGTGAAAAAAATTGATTTTTTTCACCATAAGTTTATTTCACCTATCTCATTTTATTTTAGAAATATTTCTGTCACAGTATCCCAAATTTGATCTAAAGCGGGAATTTCGTTATTATAATAAAGGAATGTATTTTTCTTCGTATCATAAGTTTTCATATTTCTTGTCAAATTTTAGTCCTTTTTGTGATGTGCGTCGTAATAATTAATGTTAAATATTGGTAGTTCAAGGATAACTGTTATTTATTAATAATTCAGACAATTTTCTTCGTCAATATTATTTTATGAGACATTTATCAACTACGATTTCGATGCACTGAAGTTAAAACGAGAGTTTCCAATATCTCGGAAATTATCTAACTTGACCTAGATCTTGTTATTGTTCTTTCGCCTTTCAGTTATATTTACCTACAGTTCAGGTTCATACGAATTTAGCTGTCAGTAGCAGTTATTTATATACCTTCACATAATCGTTAAATTGTAATACCTTAGTGCTGAATCATACCTCGAATATTTAATTGGCAATCGCAGAAATATATTTCTGAATTTTAGTTATAACGACCAAGGTTTTACTGCCATTCCTTTTCTAGTAAGATTTGAAATAAGAAATCTGATCTAGCTTGTACCAGGACTATTGTTTTGAAAAAAGAATAGAACTATGCTTTATTGTCACTGCAAATTGTACAATTTTATGAAAAAAAAAGCTTACAAAAAGTCAGAAAAGAACAATAACAATTACAATTTACTGAAATTGCGTAAATCGTCAATACAAAAAAATAACAAAATAAGCCATCCATTGCAAAAGTTAAATAAATTGCAAATTGCATAATACAAAAAACTTTACGAACTAATAAGCTGAAATTCTTGAAATTCCTGGATATGACACCCAAATACAGATAAAAATACTTTAGTTACTTAGTACATAATGGTACTGTAATTTCTTAGTTATTCTTAATATTGTTTTAAAGCTATTTTCTTGTATCATTTTAAATTAATTACTATTTAACTGGGAATAAACCACAATTAAAGGTTAAACTACGTTAATTGACGTTTCAATTTCCACTTCGGAAATCGTTCTCAAAATACAAACAGTAATTTACACACAGTAAATAATTTTGGCTCTCAATAATTTTGGATATTACCGGTAGTAAGGCAATAAATCTATAGTTGCAGATATTAGACTTATAGAAAGGCATAATCATCTCAATTTTTTTTTATTGAAACTACGTACAACTAAATTTGAACATAGTAATTAAAAGTTGACTACATTGCTAAATTAATAGTCAATATCGACTCATCGATAATTTTTTGCATTAGCTCTGCAACACGTGCTGGTTTAGTTTTACAAATTTACTTTTCAAGTATTCCCAACAAAAATAGTCTTTACGGTTCAAATCGGGTGAACGAGCAGGCCATTCAATACTACCTAATCTATCAATGATCGTCAAGGAAATGTTTGATCTAAATATCGCCAAAAATTTACCCAAAATGAGCTGTAAAGTCTTGCTGAAATCATATCTGATTGAATTTGTTCCTAAACTTGTTTTTCGGGATATTTAAAATTTCATTTCTAAGTAGCGTTCCATAATTATTGCTTTTTACATTTCCTTCTACATATAATCAAAAGCCCAATTAACTGAGTACCCAATATACCCGACTATACATTTAGTTTTTGTGACTCAAAATGGTTTTCACGTATCCAGTAACCTCACTCCAAAACCTTAAATTTTGGCGATTTACATTCCCACACAGTGTAAGTATTGCTTCGTCGGAAAAACATATCTCTTTAACAAAGTTCTCGTTAGTTACAATTTTATTCATCATTATCTTGAAATCATTTGCAAGCATCAAATTTGAAATCTCCATAGTGCAGAATAGGAATATCCCGGTCTTATTACTGTAATGCATTGGTTAATGATCAGTGTAGTAGTGCCTGGGGGCTTGGGAGACTGAGACCTCGAAAGCCCTGAAGAAGACATCAAAGAGGATGTCGAAAGCTCGGCGCAATATTTATTTATTTTATAACATCAAGAGTCTAACATTCTCTTTTTGCTTTCTAGGATAAGCACGATGGTGCAATCGAAATTGTTGAGACAATCAGGTAAGTTAATACAAATTCACTTTTCCTTTTGATTTTTTATAAGTTGTTATATTAATGATTGTAATTAAAATTGCATGTTTTTTTGTTTTTGACTGTTTTATTTCCAATCTTGAAGTCGCTTTCAAAAAATCTGATGATATAAAATTCAATTCATCATGAACATTTTTAAAAGCAATTGTTTTACTTGTTGAAGTACAAACTAATACAGAAATTTCACGAAATATATGAAAATCAATAGTAATATAAAATCAAAAGTAAATGTTGAAAGTGGGTTCCGTTGTTTTGTAAACAATAATACAGCCTATTTTCAAATTCTGCACGAAGTTTGGCAAATGTTGTTCAAGTAATATCGTGACATGCTTGCGTAATTCTTTCTCGCAATTCATCAAGTGACGCTGGTTGAGTTTTATAAACAACTGACTTGAGATAACCCCCCAAAAAGTCAGGTGGCGGTAAGTCTTGTGACCTCGGTGGCTACTCAACAGGATCTCTAATTCTAATCCATTTGTTCCGACAATTAGTATCCAACCAGTGTCTAACTGGAACTGCATAGTGAGGAGGTGTTCCATCTTGTTGGAAGTGTAGGAAATCTTCGTCTAGAGCTAGGTTAACTTGATCGTCCCTTTGTTTCTCTAATTCATGTACAATTAAAGGTTCGATTGTGTTTTCCAGCATATCGAGATATTCTGGATTTCCGATTATAGCATCGCCTAATATTCCTGCCCAAACATTCAGTTTTTTAGGATATTGAGTGTGACCTTCCCTGAATCGATGTGGGTTCGTATCACTCCAGTACCGATAGTTTTGTTTATTTACATTACCATTTAGCATAAAAGTACATCCATCAGTAAAACAAATATTCTTTTAACATTCTCGGTTCATCGCGAATTCTTTCAGTCATGAGCTCACAAAACTCAATTCGTCTGTCTGGATCATCATCGCTTAGTTCTTGAAAAATTTTGTTTTGTGCGGGTGAAACTTACGTAATTTGAACACCTTTCTAACTCATCTGAAAGTCCTGTCGTTGCAGAAACTTGACGTGTTGATGCAGTAGGCTCTATTGCAAAATTTTCAAGGATCTCAATTTGGAATGCTTTATTCAGTAATCTCGGGGCACCCCTTTTTTTATTTTGCACTGATCCCGTTTCTCTAAACTTTTTAACTAAATCGCGGAAGTACACGTGACTTACATTTTTGTCCGGACGCCTTTCATGAAATATTTGAGCTAGTCGTAAATAACACTGGTTCTGGAAGGCAAATATGAAAATGATCTCCACGTGTTCAGGTATACTGTAGTGTAAACCATCGTGACAACTACAGCTGAATGACAGTACCGATCGTACAAATGATGAAAACTGATGACATTTAAAATTCTCAAATATATATATATATATATATATATATATATATATATATATATATATATATATATATATATATATATATATATATATAATCGAAAACCTCTCTACCCTAAGGTGTGAGGTAAATACAATACAATACAATTACAGGTTACAGATATACATTACATCTCAAATCCAATGAAAATATTTATTCTATTAAATTTATTCTATTCTGTGCACGAATTTTGTCCATTCTTTCTTGTTTTTTGCCTTATTTTGAGCTTCTGACCATTCCAATCCCCTACTTTTCAAAATCTGCCCTACTTCGTCATCCCAGGTTTTCCGTGGTCTGCCTCTAATTTTAAACCTTTTCACTTTAGCCTTCCAGACTTGCTTAACGGGTCGGTTGTCGCTCATTCTGCACAAATGACCAAACCATTTTATTTTTTGTGTTTTAATAGCATATAGTACTGATTCTGTACCCAGTTCTTCTCTAACATCTTCATTTCTTATTTTGTCTCGTCGTGTTATTCCTTTGACTCGTCTTAGATATTTCATATCAATGGCTTGTATCTTGCTTTTTAATTGCTTTGTTAAAACCCAGCTCTCGCTTCCATATATCAAGATTGGTCGGAATACTGTCTTATAAACTGTCATTTTGGTTCTTCTGCTGATTTCCGGTTTACCTATGAATGCTCTACTAAGATTATGGTACACTTTTGAAGCACTACTGATTCTTTCTGTTATTTCATTCTGCATAGTACCTTCTCTGTCTATTGTAACCCCTAGGTATTTGAATGCATCTACTTGTTCTATGAGTTGTTGGTTAATTTCTATGTTAACATTTCGGTTAGTTTTTGCTATTAGCATCACCTTGGTTTTCTTAACATTAATCTTCATGTTTCTGATTGCCAGCTCATTATTCCAGGTATCTATATTTTTCTGGAGGTCCCTTTCGTTGGAAGCGCATAACATGAGATCATCTGCGAATGCACACTCAGCTATACCAACCGGTCGTAGTTTACTATATCCGATATGTACTTTGTGTATACTTGCTTTTGTTTCCTTAATTATGTCGTCAATAATCAATATGAATAGTGTGGGGCTCATAACACCTCCTTGTCTTAGACCCTCGTTTATTGCAAACATCTCTGATTCCAAGTTATCCTTACGTACATAACTCTTGTTATTTTGATACAGACTTTTGATAGCACCTGTTAGTTGATGGTCAATATTTCTATTTTGCAGACTTTTCCAGACCGCTTCCTGGGACACTCTGTCAAATGCTTTCTCAATATCTAGAAAAGCCATATATATTTCTGTGTTCTTTATTCTCGCTTTCTCAATTATTTGTTTTAACGTAAATATATGGTCTTGCGTACTGTGTCCCTTCCTAAACCCACTTTGTACTTCATCCATATGTGGTTCAACGATGTGTCTTAATTTCTTTTCTAGGATACTTTCATATATTTTGGAGACGATACTAAGTAGATTAATTCCTCTATAATTTTCACAAGAACTTGGGTCTCCTTTCTTAAAGATTGGTAGTATTATGCCAATTCTCCAATCTTCGGGGACTGTACATCGGTTCCAAGCCATGTTCATAATTTTGGTTAAAAATTCAACTCCTTTCGGTCCCATTGTCTTTAACATTTCTGCAGTGATTTTGTAAAATTCTCAAATAAATAAAAAATTATTGAATCTGACAGAACCCAAAAAACAGATGTTTTCAACTTGTTTTGCAAAAATGGCAAATTAAGTTTTCATTTACCAAAAACGACGGGCATTAAAAATAGTAATCCGGGAAATAGCATTGCAAATACAAAACATTTAAGCCAAAGTTTCACAATTATTGCTTCATCCTGTATAAGTATTACTTATACCATTGGATAGCATTTTTTATAGTTTTTCAGTGATGAATCACAATTCATCATCATCTTTGGTTCTACAACCCTGGGTGGGTCTTGGCCTGTTCAAGAATTAGTCTTCATTCCCCCCCTATCTTTCGCTCTGGCTTTCCAATTTTTGACCCCTAGATTCCTCAAGTCATCTTCGACTTGAGTTTTAAATCTAGATCTTGGCCTGTCTCTCTTCTTGGTTCCTACTGGCTCTTGCTATAATATCTGTTTTTGGGGGTCTCCAGTGTCCATTTTATCGAGGTGTCCTAGCCACCTTAGTCTATTAATTTTAATAGACCGGACGATGTTGCATTTTTTATACAATTGATACCACTCAAAATTGTAGCGCCTGCGCCATATCCCGCTTTCTTGCACTCCTCCGTATATGTGTAAGTATTCTTCTTTCAAAGCGGCGTAACAGTTCTTCGTCGCTTTTTACCATAGCCCATGTTTCTGACGCGTATGTCAGGACAGGTTTAATAAGTCTTTCATATATTAGTATCTTGGTTTTTCTACTAATTATGTGTAATGTTAAGAACTGCTTTAGTCCAAAGTAAGCTTTGTTCGCCAGGTATATTCTTCTCTTAATTTCTACGCTTACTATAGATAAAGTCACGTTCAGATGGCAGTGTACGGATATAGGATAACAGCGTTGCCAATTCTACTGCCATTGTAAGTTTTGGTACTTTTGTAAAATAAGCAGGGCCAAACTCACGATAAACTAAGATATGTTTAGGTAAGCTAAAGTTGTTAATAGAAAATTCGTGAATGAAATAAATGGTAATAATTCCTAAAATGCTTTTATACATAATACCGCAGTTAATAGGGAAAAAAATATGAAAAATATTCTACAGGTTTTTTAATGTTCTAAACGGTAGATAAGGGATAACTGATGATAATTCCTTGAAGAATTACAGCCAATTTTGCTTTGTTTATTTTTTGATGGTTTTTGAAGTTTATTGAGTTTTTGAAGAAAGATGAAGTTTGGAAAAAATCATTTTTTTGCCTGTTTTGTTCCTCGTGCATTTTAGGGAAAAATGTTTCAAATAAATGTTGCAGATCTTAAAAAGTGTTTAAATGTTTTAGTTTGTAAATTAAAATACATAAACAAATGACTGAGATAATTGCAAAAAACCCCTAATTGAGGCCCCTAGAACACAAGGGTGTAAGTGCAGTTGCTTATCACTTAGCAACTGATATCTAACAACAGGCACGTACTTTTGGCTTCAAACTTTCTACATTAACAACAATAACACCCCTTGTTGAACAAAGATTTTTCAAAACTTTGTTTTTGGCACTTACACCCCTTGTGTTCTAGGGGCCTCAATTGTGCACTAATTTATTAAATGTTCATAACTTTATTTTTTGCATAATGACGTCTAATATAACTACTTGAAATTATGCCGATTAATGAGTTATTTAAGTGTGCTACATTTCAACCAGATCAACTAAATATTTTATTACCTTTACTGAGAAAAGAATACCCCCGAAAAACAATTTTCAATCATCTTCATTTTCATAATCTAGTTCATCTTCAGAGTCATCGTTTAATGAAATTCTAATAGGTTCAATGTCATCTTGAATATTGTCTACTGTCCAAAAATTATTCTCCAATTTTATAACATGGTTGACGTAATTTTTCCAATGTCCATTGTTCTGTACTTTATCATAACCTTCATAAATCAATGTTTTAACGTCGTTTTGTTTGAAACTTGAATTCTTAGAGGACACGTATCGTTTCACTTCACTCCACACTATT